ACATATATCTTTTAAATATTAATATAAAATATTTTACCACCAAAGAATGTTTACTTTCGCAAGAACATAAATCATCTCTGAACCGTATTGGAAGCATATTTTAATCAAAAAAGACAACGCCGAAATCCAATTAGTAGCATATTCTAACCAAGAAAGCCAACACTAAAACCCGATTGGAAGCCTTTTTACCTTAGAAAATTCACACTGAAATCCAATTTGTAGCCTATTTTCACCAAGAAAGTGAGCTAGTGACAGAAATATTGCCAGGTGCATTTAATTGTGTAATGTTCCTCTCTTCGATTAAATAAATAAATATGCTTTATTAAATTTTAATAAACTATTTTTTATTATAAATCTTTCTAATGTCAAACGTACACTTTTTTAATAGATTCATAACAACAACAATAATTACAGTGCTGCCAAATCCAAACAATCAAAAATAAATTAATTAAACAGAGTATATTATAATATTATTATAAGGTATATTACAAATTGTAAATCAGTTTTAAATTTAGCATGAAAGAAAGAGAGAGATAAAATAGATGGAAGAAGGAAATGTTGTTTAACATGCTGTGAATTAAGAGTTGATTAAGCGGCTATCCACCTCTACACATACTAGCTGGGAAGTATTGCTGGAGTGAGGGGATAACATTCTTAAATCTCGAACAAAGAAAAGTTTGGGACACAATGAGAGTATCACTTGATACATCCCATTGTCTTTGGTCTCTAGCAAGTAAGATTGTGTTGCCTAGCATTGTGTCCAGGAATCCTGGAATGGCATGCATGGCAAACCTTCATCTTGACGCGGACTCCGCTTCATTCTATGTTGATATCTCTATCAATAATCTACTAGGTATATTTGTTCTAAAAATATTTTTAATGTAAAATATATAATCCAATATAGAATAAGGCTGAAAATAAGATTTTTTCTCGTTTCCTGTCTATTTAAAATAAATTAACTCCTCAAAACCAGGCCAAACCTCTCAGAAAATAAAATATAGAGATTAAGGCATGTTATAAATAAAGGGGAAAAAATTATTAACTGAAACTATTCAGTGAGTTTTAATGCTAATAATTAATTTAATATCTTGACCTGTTTCTGTTTTACCAATTTATACAAGATGTTTTACCTGTTTTTGACCTGTATTTTTGTTACATACCCTTTTTTCGAACTAGATTCATCCGGCCTCATATTTGACGGAGATCTTACATGTTATAGGTAAATACCTTGTAACTAGTACAGAGTTAGTTAATCTGGTTTGAAGTTGGATATTTAACCAATTGTATCTCTTATCAAGTGTTCTATCCATAATGGTGATGCCTTTCCCTGATAACATCCAGTTAACATCCCGGTGCTTTTTTATTTTTCTATAAATGAGTATTTTTATTACGTCACAGATATTTACCACAAATTGTGGGGATGGAGGTTGTCTGGCCGGCATTCATAGTTCTTAAAATTAAAGATACTTCGGCCAGTAAATCTTTATATTATCTCTTCACGGTCTTCTCTATTTGCCTTGCCATCTTGAATACCCCGGGACCAAAATTGGTCTTGATTATCATTTAAATAGGGCTTGCCTGTCCAGCATTCATAGTTTTTAAAATTAAAGATACTTTGGCCAGTAAATATGTTTTTATTTATAAATGGGATATACAAATTTTAATCCAGTAACTATAACGTCGCGCGCGCGTCTTAGAGAGAAATATGCATCATTTACATAACTCAGGGTAAAAATAGAGAGAAAAGTTTTTTTTTTTTAAGGAAAAGATATATATTTGAATATCTGAGCAAAACGGATTATAAAGTAAAAGAAGAAATTTAAACAAAAAATAGAATAGTTCTGAATGTATATTTGATGCTTAAGTGACTATTCAATTAACCTAATTTTCAACTGCTATTTACTAAAAGCAAAATACGGTCCTAAAGAGAGAGATGTGTTACCTTTTAAAAATAAATAAAAAAATATAAAAAATCTCTATGCTATAAACTCTAATTTAAATTCCAGGTTACCTATATACAAATATACTTGTATCTATGGCTTCCCAAAAATCCGTAAATCAAAAGTTCTACTAAGACACCAATTATCGCTTTCCATCTTTCCCCGGTGGTTCCCATTTCCAGATTTATCACGGCTTTCCTTAAGCCACCATTGAAGGACCATCCGTATTTTACATCTAAATCTTCACAACTCCTCCTTTTATAGAATAAATTCGCAGAATCCCCTCCACCCTCAGTTATTTGATGCTGTGGTTTTGTATCCTTAGATTATAAAAGGTATAGAAACATTCTTAGCGGACAGATCTCAACATATCTAAAAAAATAATCAAATTGATTATACTTTTTCTATTGGTTGGCATTTTTTCTTTTTAATATAAATTCTTTAAGCACACAGACTTCTCTAATGCTGTAGCTCTTGCTGAAATTGTCATGGGAACTATAGATAAACAGATTACTTCAGAATTTATATCTCAGATACATGGAGTAGATATTTAGATGACTTTTGTATTTGCTTCTTTAACCAGGTTGGCAATATATCCTGACAAAGGTAAATAGTTACCATAGTGTGAAATGGCCTTTACTCTTTAAATAAAAATTAATAATTTTCTCCTTTTTCTTAAACATTATTTTAATTCGTGCTCAACACCGTTTCCAAAAATCTGCATTTTACAAAAATACTTTTCAGTCTAATTATAGCTACTTTTCATCCTTTTGTTTTCTCAACCATAAGACATTAACCAAACGAATTTATAATCATCATTTCATTCAAGCATTCGAAACACCAGAAACAAAAAGACCAACTCATTTTATCTGACTACCACAAATAATCAACTAATGCCAAACCTAATCGCACTAGCACCACTCCTGCATATAAACCAACCTTTAGTTTGCCTTATTCCCCCGAAAGTGCTGTCATAGCCTGTACTCAAGAAATATGGAGTGGAAACTTTGTCTAATAATTCCCCCCAATATTGGCAGTACCAAGAGAAGTATTCCGGCTCATCCAATCAATAAAACCAAAGCAGTTTAATCAATATCACGTAGAGATTGTGGGAATGTGGGAGAGTGTGAGAGTCAGTGAACACGATCGAAACATTACAAACCAAGATCCCTCATATATCAGCACATCAGACACCGGCCACTCTTTCAACCTATCAGAACCCACCATCCATTACTCCAATATCAACAGCAAACAACAACGTTTAATTCTGGAAGTTCTTATAACCAAAAGATACCAATCCATCAATAGATGCATGTATACTAGCAGAGATTATAACATATACATATCTTATATATATATATTTTTTTTTTTTTAAGTTAGCCCATCTAGCGGACCGTGTATTACCTTTAGTCAATAGCAGTTGAAAATTACGTCAATTGTGAGGTCATTTAATAAATTATACTATTTAAAATTTCACATTATAATCCATTTTATCATAAATATAGCTCTTTCCTTTTTTATATAATTCTTAATCTCTCTGTGTTATGTAAATTATGTATATATATTTCTAAGAGGCGGCGTTATAGTCAATATCACTCCTGTAGACCCGAAAGCTTTAGTTAATTTAGAATGCATGAAATAAACTTATTCCTAAATACCTTTGTTCCACAAATTTTATTCTTATAAAGATCGCCATCGTGTAAAGCAGCCAATGTTGGATACCATGGTCAGCCATCATGGAACGTTATCTCACCCCTTTCTACGCAATTCTCTTCATAGCTTCCAAAACTCTAGACCCTTCTTTATGAATTTTAAACCAATCCTTCTTTTGTCTGCCTCTTTCTTTATTATTCAAAATGTAGCCCTTCAGAATGGCTAATAGATTATCTCTTGGGGCAAGATATTTTCTATAAATACTTCAAATGCCATGCCTAGTGGGTGACATACGATAGTTCGATCCATGATTCCAACCAGAAGAAATAATGTTTCAAGTTTCACACCAGATCACAAGACTAAAAATCTAATTAAAATACAAACATTAAGCCTCTAGGGAAATTTTTTTTTTTTACAAATATTTTATTCATAAATATCTCTATTTTTCGGGCAAGAAAGCCCTTCAACAGGAGAAAATAGTTGTAAAAAAAAAGAAACTTTTCCCTGGAGGCCTAATGTTTGTATTTTAATATTGATTCAAGGGATTATTTTATCGAACCAAATCTAATTATTATTACGAATACATTTTTTGTATTTTTGCCTTGTCTTGTAATTCTTACCTTTAATCCAAAGTGTACTTTTGAGATAATAATTATAAGGTGTTGATTAAAACCGGAAATTGATAGCTTGGTTAACAGAAATTCTGCAAGGTTTGATTGTTGTTAATAACACAAACAATAATAGGGACTGATATAGAACTAGGTGATACCATGAGTTATCTATGCTTTAAATCAGCCTTGTGATATTGATAGTATTTTTAAAATAAAACATTCGTCTACATAAGCAATAATTGTTAAAAATGAAGAATTTTGTTTTATGCGAGTAACAGTACCATGAGTATTTAATACATTAAATTGAATTTTACTGAGAAATAAACTTCGAATATATAGGCAAAAACTATGAAAATATTTTCCTCATTGTAAAAAATCTATTGAGTTGAACGGAATTAAGATATAATCAACCAAAAGTCATTAAATTTTATTACCTGGAAGTTGCTAGGAATCAGTTATCAGTAGTTCCATTTGAAAAATGAAATCTATATTTATTACAGAATGACGTGCATTGCTCTATGCGTGATTTCGCAAGGAAACCCTTAAAATTTACTTGGCCTGTTCAAACGCGGTTTTGACTATAGCGTAGCCAATAGGAGTAGGAAGGTTTATTAGAATCAAAGCTAACACTTCATCTGCTGAGGAACGTATATATAGTTAGAGAGATATAAATAATACTATCATAAAAAATAGTATTGAGGTAAAACTTTAATAAAGTTTAGGACTGGCTGTAGCTCTAGAGCCGTTTATTGAGTGAATATTTGTAACGTTTTTGCATTTAATATATACATTGGTTAATTGGGACTAATGATAATTGGGAATATCTTTTGCGTATCAATGAATAGTCACATTAATAAGAACTGACATTAGTTGTGTTGTTTATAAAAAGCAATGTTGTTTACTCTATCCAACCTTACCACAATCTAATGATAATGTACTACTTTGGGTGCTCTCACGATGCTACTGTATACGCCTCACAAGTTTACAAACCTCAATTTGTCTCTCTGCCCTTCCATCTTATAACCGTGATTCGATTATACATTATCATTAAATATTTGTAATTTAACATCAACAAATCTAAACAATTTAAGCAGTGCTCGTGCGTATGTTACTATAAAATTAAAAAATGGTTTGCCCTCTCAGACAGAGAGACCAAAACCCATCCTAGCAAGCAGCCAATCAATACCTACCTAGTTCCGACATCCTTAGCCAAATGTTATTTCCTTCGTTTTGAAAATAACATTCTATGACCAACTAAGTCAACTATGCATGCGATCATTCATACGAGTGACCAAGTGACCATTGACCCGAACGAACACTTTGGTAAAAAATCTAAAATAATTAGTCCTTGTTGTGTCTTTGCATATTTTTTCTTTGTTGTAGCTAATTTTCATAGTTTTAATTTAACTTATGAATAGGACGTATAGATCAAAGTTCAGGAGTCGAGTCCAACGTCAGGAGTTGAGTAGGCATATTACTTTAGGCGCTTTTCTATTGTAGTTTCAACTTGGCAATAAAGAATAATTGTTCAAGTATAAGAGTTGTTTCGAGGCTCAGCGCGATACTACAGTCCTGACCTAATCGGACCCATGAGCAACCACCTACAGAAGTGTCTGACCTTTCTGGAGATTCCTGTTGTAATCGTTAAACTAGAGATAGCACTTAACTGTGTGTTCAGAGAGAACATTTAACTGTCTGTGTAGTGTGTAATATCGATGTTCTTATATGACATCTCTCCCACATAGTTAATTTATCGAGATAGTTTCTTTTATATTTCTTTTCACTTCAAAATAAACAACACAATGTCTTGATACACCATGCATATATGTTTACGAAGTTTGTGAACAAATATTCTTTGGCGAGTTCAGCGTCTTCACTGGTTGATACTTTTGGGGATGGCCATCTACATTTGTCTTTTGTTGACCTTTCAAGGTCGACGTAGAGTAGACATCAGTCGTTGCAATTGAAGATGTTAATGTGGTGGTTTCCCCATCTTGCGCGCAGTAATTTATATATTGAATCCATTTACGACCAAAGATATCCCATATATCCAGATTTTAATAGTTATTTTAAACCCCTTCTTCCAAAAGAAGTACCAGAGTCCTGCCGTGACGATGGGGACAACCAGCTGTGGCACCAGCTGATTTACCAGCAGGCTACGACAGCTGATCAACCCGGGGAAATACTTACGAGAATTGATGCAGTTATACGGCGGGTCTTCCTTTATTATATTACAGTTATTTATAAAACTAAAATAAATATTTTTCTATATTTACAAAGATGCACATATACGGTAGAACCTCCCTGTAAAGGACACCTAGTTGCAGAGCCATAGTGTCCTCTAAGGAGAGGTGTCCTCTTAACTGGAGAGTTGCTAAATAGTAAAAAAAAATGTATTTTTGTTGATGAAAACTGTCCTGTGTGTGTAGAGAGATGTCCTCTTGCGAGAGTGTCCTCTCATGGAGGTTCTAATGTAATGATAAGCTATGCTTTTTATTTACTTATCCCAATTTATACAGTATAGCTATCCAGATCATGATATCAAGGTGAGTAGTTAGAAATTAGCCAACAATGGAAAGAATATTCAAACTATTTTAAGACCGTGGCATCACCAAAACGAAACTGTTCGTTGCGACATTTTACTGTCATTCAAAGACAATCTCAAAATCTAGAAACATAAATTCTTTGAAACGTGATGTTGAAGGATACTCTAAGACTGCCAAATGGACCAGTAAAAGCGTGATCTCTGAGTTGCGTTTAGAAAGGCGATATATTAACATGATTGAAGTAAAATATGCTATAGGCATATCACTCGAAGAGACGAAGGACTGGAAACAAAAATTCTCAAGAGCAATATAAACGGGGGATAAGAAGACGAAACTACTGCTCCCAATGCTGAAAATCATCAAATATAGATTTACGTCAACAATATTGGCTAGACATTGTTGCATTCAGGCAGACTATGCAAAGGTATTGAAAGAAGACTCAATTCGCGCCAATAGCCAAGGCAAATACCAAACCGTGGACCACCTCCTCTTCACCTGTCCAAGCTTCCAATACCAAAGATTCCTGACGGCGACACTATTAGGGATCACCAACCTTGGTCCAGCATCCCTAGAGTATTTACTAAGAAATAAAACTGCATGGCATCAGCTCATGAATTTGATTTCCACTGGCATTGTAAATAAAACCAAGAAGACTTAGGTCAGAAGGACAGCCTGGCTGGTTGGCGACCTCTGTACCCTCCAGGAACCTAGGTTAACTAAATAAATAAGAAGAAGACGGAATTAAAAAAGATGGACGGATCAGGTTAAAGATATTTTTGGACTAAACCGCCAACGATGGAGTGAGACGATGGTACAAGACGTGAGGAGCCCGACAGTCGACAAGTTACCTTGCACAGTGAGTACACCACATTTCTGCACCTGCAGTAGAAAGTAACAAAGGTGAAAACTGTGATTTGTAGCTGATTGAAACACGAAGAAACATTTATAGCTCTTTGAATTATCCTCAAAATGTTAATTTGAAAGAAAAAAAAACTAAATCTGTAAACAGTTAAAATTAAAAACATGAATGTGGCTTTGTGACATTGAAGAACAACGCCTGAAAGCTAGTCATATTTATTATTATTTATAAATTTATTATATATTTTAATATATATAAAATATTTTTATAATTTAAAACTTTTGTGATATAATTTTAATAAAACTATTATGTACTTGGTGAATATAGAGTCAATTCTAAAATGATGTTAACAATGAAATATCAGCTTGGTCTTGTTACTTCTAGAATTACAGAGAGGAAATACAAATAATCGCCGATTTTTGGCGGACACTTTCAAGCGCAATATTTCACTACTAACACAACATTGATAATTATATTATAGAATATATATATTATAATAGCTATCATAATAGAAATAGGGACCATTAGATTCTATACAGTTTTTGCCAACTCTGTTGGAGTTCTGAAGGCGATGTCGGCGGCCCCTTAGAAGTGGTTGAGGAACTTGATAAAGTGGTTGTCGAGAGGTCGGGCGAATATGGCGGGTGGTCAAGAATTGCCTAGGCTAACTCAAGCAGCTTTTACCGTGACATCATTGAGACGTTAGGTCGGGCGTTGTCGCGAATGAGGATTGACTCTGTTCTGTTGATCAGTATCGAGCAGATTCATTGAAATTTTGGGTTCATTTCGTCAATATGATCGTCAGTATGATCTTTGATACTGTTGTATATAGTTATAATCTGTGCTACAAAAGATCTGGCAACACAGTATGTAAACAACGCCGGATAATAAATATATAATTGTTCTAGCACGGCGGTATATTAATTGTCTATATACATAAAGGCTGTAACTATATTAAATATATATAAAGCTAAAGGTAAATGAACCCGTATAAAAGATACAACATGGTGGCAGCGCCGGGATTTTGAAAGATAAGTAAAATTTCAAATATCAATTAAGCCTAACACGTTGAAAAATGGCCTCGAGTACCGGGAATAGTTTGCAGCCATTTGTGCCTGGAACAAACCCATCAGAAGCATGGGGTAAATGGAAAAAGAGATTCCAAATGTTTTACATAGCCACAGAAATAGATAAAAAATCTATTCCAAGACAAAGGGCTATTCTACTCTATAATATTGGTGAGTTAGCCCTAGATATATACTCTACATTTAAAATACAAGAAACTGATGCCTCTCCGACTGTTCCGGATATACTTGAACTGTTTGATGGACACTTTAAACCATATAAAAACACAACCTATAAGAGGTACCAGTTTTTTACAACGGAACAAGGGGAGAATCAGAATTTTGATGACTATGTAACTGAATTGAAAAATAAAAGCATGGACTGCGAATTTGGAGAGCTTGCAGATTCCTTGGTCAGAGATAGAATTATAATTGGAATTAAAGACAAAGCTTTAAAAGAAAGGATGCTACAAGATCCTGATCTTTCTTTAGCTAAAGCCATAGACTTGGGAAGAGCTACTGAAACTTCTAGACAACAAGTAAAAAATATAACTAGAGAAGATGTTGATTTACATTCTATAAAATATAAAAAGCAATATAAAAAGAATTTCAAATATCCAGTTGGTAGAAAACCTAATGTATCTGAGGAACATCCTAATGCAAAGGTTTGCCAAAATTGTGGTTCCAGACATCCATATGGTAAATGTTTTGCATATGGTAAAATATGCAATTCATGTAAAAAACCAAACCATTTTGCTAAAATGTGTAGGAACAGAGTGCATATGTTGGAGGAAAGAGCGGAAGAGGAAGAAGAAATGTGTCTTCAATACCTATCCCTAGATAGCATTACTGGTCTAGAGTGGACTAAAATAATCTTGGTGGAGAATAATTCAGTTAATTTTAAATTAGACACAGGAGCACAGGTGAACATCCTGCCATTGGATACCATTAAAAATTGGCAAAATAAACCCTGCATATATCCAACTGGGATTGCGGTTTATTCATATACAGGAGAAAAAGTACCAATAAGGGGCAAATGCAAGGCTTCATGTACCTCTGGGAAAAAATCTGAAATCCTTGAATTTCTAGTCGTGGATTTGCCAGCTCCACCAATTTTGGGATTGGCAGCGTGTAAAAAATTAGAGCTGATATTAAAAGTAGAGTCGTTGGAACAGGACCATACTAGGACAAAGATGGATGCTTCACCTACAAAGATAATAGAGTCCTACAGAGATGTCTTTGATGAGATCGGAACACTCCCTGGAGAGCATTCTGTGATCCTGAGAGAAAATGCACATCCAAGAATTCAGTTAGCTCGCCGAATTCCGTTTGCACTGAAAAAACCAGTTGAGATGGAGCTAAAATCGATGGAGGAACAAAAGATCATCTCAAAGGTAGACCAACCAGCAGAGTGGGCACACCCGATGGTAATCATTAAGAAACCAAATGGAAAGGTTCGTATCTGTATGGACCCTAGAGAGCTAAATCCATGGATTAAAATGGAATATCGTCAACTTCCTGCCCCTGAAGGCATCATTGCTGATATCACAAAATCACCCATCTATACAGTACTTGATGCTAAGTCAGCCTTTTGGCAAATCAAGTTAGACGAAAAGTCATCTAGCCTTTTAACAATGGCTACACCTTATGGGTATTACAGATTCCATCGGTTACCTTTTGGTATTTGCAGCGCTCCAGAAGTTTTCTATAAAAAAATGCAAAGTATGTTTACAGGAATTGAAGGAGTAAAAGTATACATGGATGATATAATAATATACGGAAACTCCCTCACGGAGCACAATAGTAGACTGATTACGGTTTTGGAAATTGCTAGAAAAAATAATTTAAAGTTTGAATTCAATAAAATGCAACTGGCCCAAGAAAAAGTTAAGTTCATTGGACATGAGATATCCAAGAATGGCATCTCTGCAGATCCATCTAAATTAGAAGCAATACAAAAAATAAAAAGACCAATGGACAAGACATCTCTTCAAAGATTTTTGGGAACTGTGAACTATCTAGCTAAATTCATGCATAATCTGGCAGATAAAACTGTCTTGTTAAGACAACTCCTAAAAAAGAATACCCTGTGGACATGGAATGAGGCTATAGAAAAAGAATTCATTGAGCTGAAAAATTTGGTATCAAATCCTCCAGTTCTTGGCCTCTTTGACCCCCATCGGAAGGTAACACTTTCAGTGGACGCTAGTCAACATGGGCTTGGGGCTGTCTTGATGCAAGAGGGAAGACCCATCGCTTTTGCATCCGCATCCTTGAATAACACTCAGAAAAAATATGCCCAGATTGAAAAGGAGCTCTTAGCTCTCTGGTATGGATGCCAAAGATTTAACTATCATTTGTATGGAAGAAAGTTCACAGCCCAGACGGATCATAAACCCTTGTTGGCTATACTAAAAAAGCCACTAGAGGAATTATCTCCAAGACTTGAAAGACTGGTCTTGAAATTGATGCGATATGATTTTAATTTAGAATATGTACCAGGAAAAGTGATTCACACCGCAGACACTCTATCTAGAGATTCAATTTCAGAGGAAACCATCGACACCTCAGATCTGGATCTCCAGAACACCATTATGACTCTAAATCTGAAGGTGACCACTAAAAGATACCAGGAAATTCTCAGAGATATGGAGTCAGATGAAGAAATGATAAAATTAAGGGATCATATACTGAATGGGTGGCCTATTCATAAGAAAAGTGTGGACTATGCTGTTAAGCCCTACTGGCATTGTAAAGAAGAACTATATATATGGAAAGACCTGATTTGTAGAGGACAAAGACTTGTCATCCCTAAAGTCCAAAGGGAAAGCATCTTGCAAACACTACACATGTCTCATCAAGGGATCTCTGCTTGTAAAAACAGAGCACATGAAGCTATTTATTGGCCTGGACTGGATAGAGAAATAGAAGAGATGGTTTATAAGTGTAGAATTTGTCAAGAATCACAACCTTCGCAAAGGAAAGAACCACTTATACCTCACGAAATAGCAGACTACCCTTGGTAAAAAGTAGCTATTGATTTCTTCTATCTAGACCAATCTGTATTCATAATAATAGTAGACTACTACAGCAGCTTTCCTGAAGTCATCAAGGTAGCATCAACTTCAGCAAAAGAGATTCTACCAGTTTTGAAATCTACCTTCGCAAGACATGGGATTCCAGAGATCATCATCACTGATAATGGACCACCATTTACATCACAAGACTTTACTAATTTTACAAATGAATGGGACATAGAACATAAAACCTCTAGCCCAGGATACCCAAAATCAAACGGATTAGTGGAGAGGATGGTGCAAACAGTAAAGAAGCAACTTAAGAAATGCCGTCAAGACAACACTGATCCTTATATGTGTTTAATAGCCCTGAGAACAACTCCGTCAAATAATCTACCGTCCCCAGCTCAGATGCTAATGGGAAGAAACTTGAGAACCTTGATCCCAATGAAAACCACAAAGCTAAAACCTGCTTTCATTAGCACGGAAAACATTCTACAGCAGAAGAGGGAAAATCAATATAAGATGAAAGAATATTATGACCGAAATGCCAAAATACTTCCTAAAATGAGTTCTGGTGAACAGGTAAATGCCAAAACTAGCAATGCCTGGAGACCAGCTACCATCATTGGAGAAGCCAACCAGCCTCGATCATACATCATTCAGAACAACGAGGGCCGAATGTTAAAACGGAACAGAGTTCACCTACGGCCCAGAAGTTATCCTGTTGGACAGAGAAGGAGCAGCCAGTCATCGCTCCAATTGGATCCAGCCCCCTCGACATCATCGGAGTCCAGTGGTCAAGGGGAACCAGGAGAATTTCCCCGCCTGAACCTCAGTCCTGAAGAGTTGGCCCCATCCACTTCAACTCCCATAGGAAACTACAATGAAGGAGGCACTGCCTACACCACTAGAAGTGGACGTGTGGTAAAGCCTCCGAAAAGATTCGACCCCGGACTTTAATTAAAAGGGGAACATGTTGTATATAGTTATAATCTGTGCTACAAAAGATCTGGCAACACAGTATGTAAACAACGCCGGATAATAAATATATAATTGTTCTAGCACGGCGGTATATTAATTGTCTATATACATAAAGGCTGTAACTATATTAAATATATATAAAGCTAAAGGTAAATGAACCCGTATAAAAGATACAACAGATACCTTATAAGCAACAATTTGACCGGTCACATAGCCAGAATGAGGGATATCCGTTGGACCATAAGTGTTAATGACTAGTATCCAAACATGTGGTAGGAAGTCCATCTTGTTAGATGGAAAGATCCCGTGATGATGACTTATGGTAAATATCACTGGAGAATATGTCGAGAGAGAGAGACAGTAAGCAAGGAGTGACGTCATTGATACCGGCAGAAGTGGAGAACCCTCACGGGTCCATCGAACTCGTCAAGGAAAGGAATAAATATTGATTTGAGATTATGACTGATTTCATACTATTGATATTTGAATATTATAGTAATCTAATTTATTCATGTTATATATCGTTTTAAAGGCTATATATCGTTTTAAATTAAATATTTTAATTCTATCAATTTGTTCTGATTTGTTAAAATAACAAATGCTTTGAAAACAAGAAATATTCATTATTTTACTTTATGAGTTCAAACTTGACACAACACTGTGGAAACAACCCGAAATGTTATCAGCGCTACCTCCGCACTACGCGCAGGTAGTTCGTAAATTCCCGCGCCGGCGACACCAGCCGTGAAGGTAGAGAGGGTCGAGGTTGACACCGATCAATTAAAGGAGATATAATCGAAGCACACATACAAAACTACACGAGAAGTTGCCGAAGAACTCAATGTCTCTCGAGCATTCTATGGTTGTTCGACATTTGGGTCAAATTGGAAAGGTAAAAGTTCGACAAATGTGTATCGAACGAATTGAATGAAAATCAGAAAAATTGCCGTTTTGGAGTGTCGTCGATGCTACTTCTTCAATACATGAACAGCCGTTTCTCAAACGTAACTTTCAACGAGGAGTGTATTCTTTATGACAACTGGTGACGTTCAGCGTTTGTTTGGATAATGACGTAGCTCCGAAAACATACCGAAACCAGTTTGCACCAGAAGAAAGTAATGATGACTTTTTGGTGGTCTGAGGCTGGTCTCATTCACCTCCTTGAATGCAAAAGAAACAATCACAGAAGAGAGAATATGGTTTTTACGGACTACTAACCAAAGGCAAAATCACAGAAGAGAGGTATGGTCAGCGATTGACGAAATGCACCCAAAATTTCAATGAATCTGCTCGATACTGATCAACAGAACAGAGTAATATTAGTAGTAGTTTCCAGGCGGTTCAAGGTATTGTGCAAGGAAGAAAAAGCCACAAATGAAATAATCGAAAGGAGTGAACTAGGATCGCGGTGGAGAACCATCGACCTGTGATAGGCACCTCCATTACAAGAAGAGCCTATGGAATCAGCACGGATTGAGAGTGGAAATAGGGCCAGAGTTGAAATGTGGTGCAACAAACAGGGGGTGACACTAATCCTGGCGTTACGTTTCAAGTTGGCTGACAAGACTCATGTGGTTGGAGGCATTTATAAGTTTAAAGGTCTTCCAGAAGTCTGGAGAGGTGGTTTGCCCTGTTTGGGACAAACAGGCTTAGGAGGAGGTCAGTGTCACGACGACGTCCGAAGTGGCTAAATCATCCAACGTGTGGGGGGGGGGGGGGCAGATGGACCAATCAGGAAGAAGTAGCCCAACTGGACGACAGTCATTCTCCCTCTTGTTGACGGCATTGTTGGGTTGATCTTCCCTGTCTGTTACTTGCTTATTCCCCATAATCCATGAAGGTAAATAAAAAGAGTCAAACGGAGATCCCTATCAATCTTGGTACACATTTGACAATCTTTGACACAGCAGCGGTGTTGCAATATATTGGGTGAGAAAGTAACCAAATTGTTTCTTACCTAACTGGTGTCTTGAGGTTCTATATCACCTAGCGCTTCTTTATGTGAGTGTTGAACTATCAAACATTCCCTGAGGACAACCACATGTTCACTCTCCCATTGCCATTTTTATTATTGGCAGTAATAGCAATGATTATAAGAATTCATTATCCTGTAATATAATTTTATATATCTTTCTTTTTTGCTACCTGAAATATGATAATTTCTTCTGATAATTTGCATATTCAGGAACCCAATCACATCACAATCATTACTTCCAAACCTATATGCTCTAAATCCTGTCAACAATTTCATCCAGAAACACACAGTTCAAATATCTATGAGGGATAAACCTAAGCACATTTTACTTATCTGAAAATATGTCTTACTTTGTTTATAGGTATTTATGTACAGTGGTAGGTGACCATTTTATTTATGCTCTGATTCAGCAACCTTAATCAGCAAAATTTTGTCTGATGGTGATACCAAAATGTCATGCACAATTTTTTTAAAATTTTGATTTGGTCTTTGTTACTTTATGTTCCAAAGCTATATTCCAAATTGTATAATTGGAATGAAAATTGTTTGATTATATTACACATTGGAGGTCAGTGGATGAGTGGCTATCAAAATTTTTAAAATGCTCCAATGCCCCTGATTCTTGCAAAAGTCCAACCCCACCATTGAGTGCAAGTGATCACACTGGGCTCTGGCACACTTGTAAGTGCAAAAGTATTTTCCACATATGTAAACTTGTTGTGTATTTACACAGTGAAGGAACTCACCATAATTATCATGACCTGTACCATGTGTATACTTAGGGATAATAATAATAAAAACATTGACACATTTGTAGGTTTAATTATTTTTCAAATATCCAGTCCAATGTGTGTAGGATAATGTTGGTAGATAATATTTGAATTCAATAGTTGTTAACAATTGAATATATTGTTGTGTGGGAGCCTGGAAGTCACAGGGCCGTACTAAGGGATGTAACTTTTTATTGGTGCCTGGGTTGGGGCTGGTCTGGGGATGCATCTTGTCTGTAGCTTCTTGGCACTCGGGTCGGTCCTCTGTAGGGTCGGTCGGTGCGGGCCGTCTTCATTTTGCGTTGATCCAAAATGGAACTTAAGTCCTAAAAAAATCTACAAAAAAAATAAAGAGAGCAAGCAAGAAAGTTGGTCCGTGGTCAAAGTGCAATTTCTCGCCGAACTCTGTTGTTCGATGACTCACAGTTTAAAATTAATTTAAATTAAAAAAAAATTAAATAAAATAAAAAGAATTAATTAAAATTCAAAAACATTTTCAAAATCGTGAGCCTTGCTAGTTAAGATAGCGGGCGTGTGTTAGTAGCGCCCACGTGTCCGGCATTCAGGGTCGCGCCATGGTTACACAACAATATTTTATATTAATTAAGTTTTGGTTCCAACTTGAAGTAGTTTGGCTGAAACTTTTGTTAAAACATCTGTAGAGTGTAAATTATCAGGTAATACCGCCTTAGAGTTAGAAGATTATAAAACTAGGAAAACAAAAATATTTATTGAATAATCTGTTATTTATAAATCTTATGAGAGAAATAAAATGTTTACAATTTTATTCACCTTTATTAAGGGAAACTGTTCAAGATTGGCTGTTGTTCCAGACCCGTTTGTTGAACATGTTGATGTTCTAGTAAAGATATGAATTCAAGAATTCTGTTCCCCTCTTTTTCAACTCACTTTAAATTATTTACCTAGCCTGCCATTTGTGTATACCATGTGTGTAATCAAATATGGGCACATATGGTGAATAAATTATCCAAATATATGGCTATAAGGAAATTGAGGTGCTTCTAGGATTTTTATTATTAGTTGTATGCATGTAGGTAGAAAAGCTTTGTTCCTATAAAAACGTTTTTATCTCATAAGAGTAAATAGAATCTAGCTGCACAAATATGATGACTGTAATGTAAACACACAACTACATATCTATAATTTACAATTATGTCATCAAAGACTTCATTTGGTTACAGTTGGGATTTAACTTGTGAAAATTTGGGAAGGCTTTTTACAAGCAATATATTATATGAAAAGGATTTTTTCTTTGTGGGCTAATACCTTGGGCCTGGTTAAAACAAACAGAGCTTACAAAAACATATGTACACTTAAATTCCTACAACTAAATAAAACAAGGTATTGAAGCAGCTTAATTGGCCAATTCTGAGAGTAGTCATCAAGCCTACTATTTATCACTTGTTGCTCAATATTGATGTTGTTGTTTATGTTGTTCTTGTGTCTATTTGATCACGCAGAATACAACTGAACTAAGTATTTATTTATTAACATCTATTTATTATAACATGGTTATATATCTAAGAGTGTTTACAAGTCGAGTCGGCAGTGTTGCCGGATCAATCATAACATGTTTCCTTTAAACAAAAATAAAAAGGATTGCAGTTCTCCTAGTCTCTATAACGCAAAGGTTTTCTCACTGTTCTACCACTGCGGGTTCGCACACTAGGAGAAGTGGATGATTCTTCACCTTTCTTGGCCACGTTCTCCCTTGGATCATATGCTCTTCTGTTTTCAGAAGTGGGTCTTCCGTGATCTTGTATGTTGTCATCCATGGCTGTCCCTGCTTGAGATCCAGGAATGCTTGGACTTTGACTTGTTGGGGCAGAGTCTTCTACACTGAACTTTCTCGGTCTAAGGTGAGACCTGTTCCTGCGGTATTCAGAACCACTTGGTGTTTTCACCATATATGAGCGTGGAGTTTCATGCTTTGCGGTCACTGTTGCCGGAACCCATTTTCTATGCCTTTCCTGCAACATGATGTTGTCTCCTACTTCCAAAGGTCTCAAAATTCTCTTTGGACTTCCTGCATACTTTTGTTGATGGTCTCTCAATTTTTGATAATTCTTTGTTGTGTCAAACAGTGGTTTCAACTGTTGTCGGGTGTATGTCGAAAGAGTTCTCACAGATCTTCCCATAAGCATTTGGGTCGGAGATGGCAGGTCATACTTAGGTGTGTTGTTGAACTCCATCAAAGCCAGATTGGGATCTCTTCCTGACTTCACAGCTTTAATTATCAGTCCTTTGATGGTTTGAATTGTCCTCTCAACTTGTCCATTAGATCTTGGATATTTGGGACTGGAGGTTTGGTGTTTGAATTCATATTTCTGAGCAAAATTTTTGAATCCAGTAGAGTTAAAAGGGTGTCCATTATCCGAAACTAGAGTTCTTGGAATTCCATGAGTCCTGAAAATGGTTTTCAACTGCAGGATGGTTTCGGTTTCTCTTTTGCTTGATAATTTCCGGATTTCAACAAACTTTGAGTGGTAATCGACAACCAAGATGGAACTGGTTCCACTCACCTCCATGAAATCTACAGCAATTTTTTCCCATGGAAATTCAGGGATTTCATGAGCTATTCTTGACTCCTCAGGATTCTTTCTTGAATATTCCTGACATGTTCTGCACTTTTCCACTTCATTTTCTACTTGTGTTATCATGCCGGGCCAGTAAAATGCTGATCTTGCTTTTTCTTTGGAAGCTGCTGTGCCCTGGTGTGATGAATGAACAACCTGCAGGATTTCTTTTCGAAGAGTCGATGGCACCAAGATGCAATTTCCTTTGTAAACAATTCCGTCACTCACATGAATTTCATCTTGAAATTGCCAGTAGGGTTTTGCTTCATCACAGACCTTAGTTTTATATTTCGGCCATCCATTCTTCGCATACTCTATTAGTTGTATCAAGGTGTGGTCCTCATGAGTTTCTTTTTGTAGTCTCTTTATTTTTTCATCTGTGGTAACCAACAACATGTGCACTGATTCAGTTTGACCTTCTAAATAGCTTGTGTCCACCTCATCTTTTAATGGATCTCTAGACAGATGGTCAGCTACAAACATGTTTTTTCCTGGTGTAAACTTCAAAGATATTTGAAATCTCATCAGACGTAAGACCATTCTTTGCAGTCTTGGGGAAAGCTTTTCTAAAGGTTTCTTAACAATACTCAGGAGAGGTTTGTGGTCAGTTTCCACAATAACATCATTTCCCCAAATATAGTACTGGAAGCGTTCACATCCAAAGACTATAGCCAAAAGTTCTTTCTCTATCTGTGCGTATTTTCTTTGAGTTGCATTCAGGCTGAAGGACGCATACTCAATTGCATGTCCCCCTTGCATGAGCACTGTACCAATACCATATTGGCTTGCATCAGATGAAATGGTGATTGGCTTGGTTGGGTCAAAAAATGTCAATATTGGAGCATTCGAGACCATATCCTTGAGTTTTTCAAAACAATCAATTTCTTCGCCTCTAAATTTCCATTCACTCTTATTGCTTATCAATTTCCTTAGAGGTGCAGTCTTGTCAGAAAGATTAGGAATGAATTTGCCAAGGTACGTTACCATACCTAAGAATCTTTGGACTTCAGTCTTGTTCTCAGGTCTTTTCAACTTTTGTATTGCCTCTGCTCTTGAAGCTTGAATGGCTATTCCATCTCGACTGATTATATGGCCTAAGAAATTTACTTTGTCGACAGCTATCTGCTGCTTCTTAGCATTGAGCTTGACATTATTTTCTTCCAACCTTCGAAGAACTGTTTCAAGGTTTCGGTTGTGCTCTTCCATTGTGCTTCCATAGATCAAGATGTCATCCATATAGCAAGCAGTTCCCTGGAGACCTGAAAGGATATTGTTTATGCATCGCTGGAATACCTCCGATGCACTGTTCAATCCATAGGGAAGTCGCTTGAACCGGAATCTTCCAAAGGGAGTCGCAATGGTGCACAGGTTGGTGCTTTCTTTGTCTAATGGGACTTGCCAGAAAGCTGATGATGCATCAAATACAGAGAAAACTGTAGCACCTTTCAATTCAGAAAATATTGTTTCAGCTGTTGGCAGAATATAGCGCTCTCTCTGAATATATTTGTTCAGTTCCCTGGGGTCCATGCAAATTCTGACATCCCCAGAAGGTTTTTGTACCACTACAATAGGGTGTGTCCATTCGCTTGGTTCTTCAACTTTTTCAATAATGTCAAGTTTTTCCATCCGTTCCAATTCTGCTTTAACTTTTTCTCTAATGGAAAAAGGAATTTTTCTGCTTGGAGCAATAACTGGAGTTGTATTTTCATTTAGTCTAATCTTGTGTTCAATTGGCAGTCTTCCTATGCCTTCAAATATATTTTTGTGCCTGTTCAAAATTTCTTTTGCTGAATTGTTCTGCTCTGTTTGGACAGCATCACATTTCTTAATTAGTGAAAGCTTTTCAATAGCTTCTATTCCTAAAATTGGTTGATAGTATCCATCAGCAATGAAAAATTCTAGACTTTCCGTCTTATTTTTAGTTTTGCAATTTAGTGTGGCAATTCCTTTTATCTTGATTTCATGTCCTGTATATGATGTTAGCTTTCGGTTAGTCTGAAATATTTCCAAACCTTTCATTTGTCTGGTGAATGTGTATGGCAAAACATTTACTTCTGCTCCAGAGTCCAACTTGAAACATATTTCCTTTCCATTCACTATGATGGATTTTTTCCATTCCAAAGTATGGACTACTTTTGCTTCATGTATTGACCTTACAGTTTCTTCTGTTTCATCATTCAGACTTCTGGTAGCTGAACTTTTACAGAAAGCTGCAAAATGATTCATCTTTTTGCATTTGGAGCATCTTTTACCCCATGCAGGACAATTTTTTGCTCTGTGGGACTTTCCACACCTTTGGCATTTGAATTCTTTTTCAGATTCTTGATTTTGTTTTGGACTGTGTTTCTTTTCATATTTTCTTATTTGACAAATGTTCTGGTTGTTCTGCATGATCTTGATCTGTTGCTTGCTTATTTCATCTGTTTTGCACATTTCAATGGCTTTTAGAAGAGTTAAATTGGGCTCTCTTAAGAGGCGTTCCTGCAAAGCCTTGTCTTGTATACCATACACAATGCGATCCCTAATTAAACTATCCTTTTGTGATTCAAATTCACATGATGTAGATAATCCTTTTAGTTCTGTTATAAAACTATCGATGGATTCACCATCCTTCTGGGTCGCTGAAAAAAATTTGAATCTTTCAAAAATGACGTTCTTTTTAGGCTCGCAAAAATCATCAAATTTGTTTATTACAAGATCGAAATTTTCTGCTTCATCTTCTTTTAAATGAAATGTGTTGAAAACTTCCAAGGCTTCTTCGCCAATAAAATTTAATAAAATGGCAACTTTCAGTTTATCAGGCTTTGTGGCTTTTTCTGTTGCTTCAAGATAAAGCATTAATCGCTGTTTGAATCTTCGCCAATTTTCCGCTACATTACCGTGCAAGGCGAGTTCGCTAGGCCTAACAAAGTCCATGCTTTCTTTTTTTCACTAATATTTGTCAATAATATATTTATTTGAAAAAGTACTTACTTTTCCGCTGCCACCATGTTGTTTATGTTGTTCTTGTGTCTATTTGATCACGCAGAATACAACTGAACTAAGTATTTATTTATTAACATCTATTTATTATAACATGGTTATATATCTAAGAGTGTTTACAAGTCGAGTCGGCAGTGTTGCCGGATCAATCATAACAGATGTGAGACGCAATGTTGAGATCTTTGGCATTTTAATACAGGAGAACCTTGTTTGAACATTACTTTGGAGAGACTGTTGTTGTTATAACCATGGTTAAAACAATAGAAAATACAATGGGCACAATATGTAAGATATTGTTGTATATATATTAATTAATTGTTACCACAGTGTGTGTAAGCTCACAGGTAAATAGGCGCTAACCAAAACAGAAAAAAGTTCCTTTGTTTCAATATTAGTTTCCCTTTTATATTTTGTTCTCTCTCTTGTAAATCAATAAATATAATGTTTAATTAATAATTATTGGAATCAGTTTCATTAATAATTCTAAGCAAAGTCAACAGATATTATGAGAAAAAATATTCCAAAAGATAACTTAAGGAAGCCTAAAATGTGCTACAATCACAATAAATAGAATAAGGGGATGAAATATCAATGACATTTATAGATATGGCTTTAAATTTATACTTTCCT